TTGTAAGATTATTTTTCTTGAATACTTGGTCTTTGTTGCATGTAACATTATCATATTTATAATAGTTTTTCTTGAGATATTAAGATTTATTGCATGTGGATTATTATATTTAAAATAGTTTTTCTTAAAATAGAAAAAAAAAAAAAAAAAAAACGGAAAAAGTAAAATAGAGAAAAAAAACCTAACATCACAGACTGGCATTGCTCAGTGGTTAGAGCTTTGTCCCATGACCCAAATGGGCTCGGGTTTGATTTTCAATCAAGAGAGTATACGTGGGTTGCAGGTTGCATCCCTGTGCAGGAGGCAACGAACCAATGTGTCTCTCTCACTCACATTGAAGTTTCTCTCTCTCCTTCCCTCTCTTCCACTCTCTAAAAACCAATGGGAAAAACTGGATTAAAAAAACAAAAAAATCAATAAATTTATTCTCAGGTGATCATTAAAATGACAAGCTATTTTTGGAAGAAAAGGAAAAAAGTTTATTTGAGGCAAATTGAAGAAATGCCTGGAAATAAGTTCCCACTGGAGTGAGAAATGGTCCAGAGATGGGCAGTTTTGCAGTTGTTTCTTTTTATGTATTTTGAATCAAAGGGAACATAAAGATTATATGAAATCCATTGCTGGTAGGAGGTTAAGGAGGTGGGGAAAAGCAAGATACGGATATCTCTGATTGACTCAAATGTTAACATTTATAGAGAATAGGGATGGTATACAGGCAACAAAATCACGTGCTCATTCTGAGGGGTCTGGAATCTCAAAGGTGTATTAAAGTGTTTTCATGTCCTAGCAGTTGGGCCTAGCTCATCTGGCTCAGTAGATAGAGCACCAGCCTGTGAACTAAAGTGTCCTCAGTTTGATTCCACTCATGGGCACATGCCAGGGTAATGGCTCAATCCCCAGTGAGGGGCTTGCAGGAGGCAGCCAATCTACCTCATCATTAATATTTCTGTCTCTCCCTCTCTGAAATAAATCAATATCTATCTATCTATCTACTTCTGTGTGTATAATATATATATATATATATATATATATATATATATATATATATATGTGTGTGTGTGTGTGTGTGTGTGTGTGTGTGTGTGTGTTAACCTAGATGCATAAGAATATGGGACAGGGCATGCTTTAGGCAAAGATAAACCTTTTATAAGGAAGATATAGGCCCTTTATCCAAATGCACTATGACATGCCCAGTTAGAAATTTATGATCAGATTTAGGACCCAGGCCGGCTTCATTTATGCTGGCCGCAGCCACAAGGGACTGTGGGCAGGTGGCTTCACCTGGGCCACAGCCACAGGCACCCAGAACAATGGGGCAGGTGGCTTGTCCCTCTACCAAACCACAGGCTGAGGCGCTGGCACCCAGAACCGCAGAACGGGCTGCTTGTCCCTCTCCTGGGCCACAGGTGCAGGTGCAACCACTGGCCCCCATTCCTCTCTTGTGAGCTCATTTGTGCCGGGCTGGTCCCCATTCTTCTCCTCAGTGTTGTGTCTGAGTAGTTCCATATTCCAGAATATAATCCACCCCAGTTCCCTATTATCTTGCCTGTCTGTGTTTCCTTACCTTTAACACCTTTATTTGGTTGTCCATCACTGTCCCCACTGCCAGTCTGGTTTCCCCATGCAGCCTCAGGTCTGGTTGTTTGGGTCATGATGGCCCCTGGCTTTTTATATATTAGGATAGGATACAGTAGTACTTAGGTTCTCAAACAAAATTTGTTCAGGAAGGCTGTTCGAGAAATGAAAACCGAATCCTTTCCCCCCCTTTAAATGTAAATTGAATCTGTTCCAGATGCCAAAATAATTCTGCTAAAACTTTTCTTATATACTACACATCTAATGTACTATTTAATCTATAAATAAACACTTCTTTCCTTCAATTTATTGAACCATCCCCTACTACCTGTAAAGGAACCACTTTTATCATGCAGGTGGGGGTGTCTTTCGGGTCACTATTTTTACTTGTTCCATTGCCTCCAAATTGGCTGTCATTGGCTAACTGCCTCCCCGTTATCCAAATGAACAAATGTTATACCTCTTCAGTGGCCTGAGATCCTTGTTTCACTCACCCTTACCAAATTTAGAAATCCTGTCCTAATCATTGATTTCACTCCCAACAAAAGCAATCTCTCCTTTGTTGCCTGAAAGAAGCTTTTAGGCATGCTGAGGTGTCAGCTTGAAAAGATGGTCAGTTACAAAACAGAGGTTGGGTTCCACATGGACACATATTTTCTGCGTACAACTTGGTCAAGAACAGAACTTTCTGAGATGAGAGATACTTGAGAAATGAGGTTTAACTGTACATATTTTAAATTTTATTTTTACTGTTGAAAATATTACTGATGTCCCACCGCTGTTTATTGACTTTTTTCTGAGAGAAAAAAACATCTATATGAGAGAGAAACATTGATTGGTTGTCTTTCCTATGTACCCAAACCAGGGACCAAACCAAACACCTGGGGATGTGCTCTGACCACGAATGGAAACCATGACATTTCAGTGTACAGGAGGATGCTCAACAGAACAATACTGACCAGGGTAGTTTGCAGTTATTCATATTATTTGAATACATTTCATTACATCCCTTTTATAAATACAGATGTGATTTGGTTAATGTTTGGCTAAAGGGAACTTTGTAAAAAATGCATGATTGAAATTTTTAATATTATGCATAACAAAGAAGTCTAATGCCAAAAGTGATAAATAAAAGAAATTAAAAATGTAGCTTGAGGAAAACATCCGAATTCGTACACATATAATTTTGATTCAGAATGTATTAAAAAGAAAAAAATTACAAATTGACTGAAATTAAATAATTCCAATGGAATACTTAAATAAATCCTCAGAAAATAAAAACCAGAATAGTTCTTCACAGAAGAGTGCTTAGGAAACAGTTAATACTTCCTTAAAAAGTTCAGATGCAATTATTACAGAAAAATGTACATAACTTTAATCAATACAATCAAAGATAACTGACAACATTGAGAGATTAGGCTCAGCTCTGAGTGACAGCACACATCCAGAGTCTGCCTGAAATGAGGGAAGTGCCGATTCTCACGTGGAAGGACTGGCTCAGAGCCCTCACGGCAGAGGGTGGTACAAGAACAAACTGTCACGGGCTCCTTGCCACTGCACCACTGCAGCCGTCACAGTGGGATCTGAATCACAGTCAGCAGTAGAACCAACAGGACAAGATGATTACCAAATTAGACCTCAAGCAAATGCAATCTAGAGAAGAGAGTGCACTCTTCAGAACATAGCCCCAACCACGACAGTCTACGTTTGTTGCCTGCTGGACACCTATGGGCTCGCAGGAAAAGCCAACCTATGCTGGATCTTTAATGTTGAATTCTGAACAACTGTAAAGCTTCTATCCAACATCAATGGAAGTAAAGCACTAGCTTGCAGTTTTGACGATCTTCTTGGCTGTCAAGGCCGAGACTGAGAAAAACAATCTAAAATATTTTTTTAGTGTAAACTTTATAGCACAATTCCCAGCTAAAAGAAACACAAAAACCAAACATGAAAATAATTCACATGGGACTCTACAGTGACTGCGTACAAATGTATAACAAATACTTATTAACTAAAATAATAGTGCATTTCAAGTGCTGTTAAAAAATTAAAAAAGAACTAATATGTGTGTGGGGCCTAGTCATTCAATACCTGTCAAGGCACAATACTGGGTATAACACGGTCAATCCCTGGACAGGCACACGGGAAGATAACTATGTGTTTCTCACATAGATATTTCTCTCTACTACTATCTCTTCCGCACTCCAAAAAAATCAATTTAAAAAACTAACAAAGAATGAGTACTGATAATGAACAAATATGTCAAAAGTTTATAGAACTTTAATGCTATGAGTTTTGGGAAGTATATGACTTAATTTGCAACAGGCCTATATGTACCAATTAGTTATACTAACAAGATTTCTTTTCAGTGCAGTTTTCAAGCTACTTTGGAAGTATTTGTTAGAATTTTAAGGTTTATTTTCATTGTCAATGAAACAGTGTATATTCTCACATGGTATTGTAGGGATATGAGGCAACAGGAAAGTTTCCTATATTTTTACATTCAATACAGTTCTCCACTTTGTTTTTTTCATGAACTTCCCAAGGAAAAGGGACAGCCGAAGGCTTTCACCTTCTCCATATGTATGCACTATTTCTCCAGGTGCATTTTAACATGCCTAAGTAAGGCTCTTCCACATTCCTAATGCTCCTACACTTATTCTTGGGTGTGAGTCTCTTCATGATTTTGTAAAGAACTATGAGGGCCAAAGACTCTTCTACAATCTTTACATGACAGGACTTCTCTTCAGTGAGTTCTTTCATTCTTTACAATAAACTGGAAGAAATGAATGCTTTCTAACCCTTTTACTTTTCTAAGGTCCATCTCCAATATGGATAATTGTTCATGATGGCACAGCTGAGTAATAATGAAGGCGCATCCCTATTCTCTACATTAACAGTTTATCAACAGGATTTGTTTTCACACGTCTATTAAAACCGGTTCAAAAGCTGAAGGTCTTACCATATTCCTTGCATTACTATGGTTTCTCTCCACAGTGGGAGCTTTTGTGAATTTGAAAGGATCTGGGATGATGATAGGTTTTCTCACATTGCTTGCATCATAAGTTTCCCCCCAGTATACATATCATGATATACAAGAGAAAAGGGAATAAAAAAGAGGTTTACTTCCTTCCTTATTCGAGGCTTCTTTCCATCATGTGTTCTTTTATATCTTCGAAGATGTGAGGTACAACAGGTTTCCCCACATTGCTTACATTCATAAGGTTTAACCCCATCATGAGTTTTTTCATGTCTTTGAAGATGTGTGAGCAAACTGAAGTTTTTATTCACATTGCTTACATTCATAGGGTTTTCCCTTAGTATGAGTTCTTTCTTGACTTGAGAGGGAATGTGTATAAAAGAAAAGCTTTACCATATTGCTTATATTCATAGAGTTTTTCCCTGATATGAGTTCTTTTACGATGTTAGAGAGAAAACAGATAATAGAAACCTTTATCACAGTGCTTATATTCATAGCATTTTATCCCAGTATGAGTTCTTTCATGACGACGGAGGTAAGTTCGTTGAGAGAAATCTTTTCCACAATGCTTACATTCATAGGGTTTTTCCCCAGTATGCATTCTTTGATGACTTCTAAGCAAAGAAGGATAAAGGAAAGTTTTACCACATTCCTTACATTCATGAGGCTTCTTTCCATCATGATTTCTTTTATGTGTTGCAAGAGAATTAGGAGAACAAAAGGTTTTCCCACATTGCTTACATTCATAGGGTTTCTCCCCAGTATGCATCCTTTCATGATTTCTAAGAAGAATGGGATGTCTGAAAGCTTTCCCACATTGCTTACAATCATAGGGTTTTTCCTTATTATGAGTTCTTTCATGACATTGGAGGGAAGACAGATAAGAGAAAGCTTTACCACAATGGTTACATTTATAGGGTTTTTCCCCAGTATGCATTCTTTCATGAATTCTAAGGAAAGATGGGTAAAGGAAAGTTTTGCCACATTCCTTACATTCATGAGGCTTCTTTCCATCATGATTTCTTTCAGGTGTTGCAAGGGAATTGTGAGAACTAAAGGCTTCCCCAGATTGCTTATATTCATAGGATTTCTCCCCATTATGCATTCTTTCATGATTACTAAGAAAAGTGGAATGTCTGAAAACTTTCCCACATTGCTTACATTCATAGGATTTCTCCCTAGTATGCATTCTTTCATGATTTCTAAAATATGTAGAATATCTAAAAGCTTTCCCACATTGCTTACATTCATAAGGTTTCCGCACAGTATGAATTTTTTCATGATTTCTAAGAGATATGGAATATCTGAAAGCTTTTCCACATTGCTTACACTCATACAGTTTCTCCACAATATGTGTTCTTTCATGATTGCTAAGAGATTTGGAACAACTAAAAGTCTTACCACATTGCTTACATTCATAGGGTTTTTCCTTATTATGAGTTCTTTCATGACTTTGGAGGGAACGTGTATAAAAGAAAGCTTTCCCACATTGCTTACATTCATAAGGTTTTTCCCCAGTATGAATTCTTTCATGACGACGGAGGGAAGTTCGATGAAAAAAATCTTTACCACAATGCTTACATTCATAGGGTTTTTCCCCAGTATGAGTTTTTTCATGAATTCTAAGGGAATAGTGATAAAGGAAAGTTTTGCCACATTCCTTACATTCATAAGGCTTCTTTCCAGCATGATTTCTTTCATGTTTTCCAAGAGAGCCTAGAGAACTGAAGGTTTTGCCACATTGCTTACATTCGTAGAATTTTTCCTTATTATGAGCTTTTACATGACTTTGGAAGGAAGTTGGATGAAAGAAAGCTTTCCCACATTGCTTACATTCATAGGGTTTTTCCCCAGTGTGTCTTCTTTCATGAATTCTAAGTAAAGAGGGATAACGGAAAGTTTTATCACATTCCTTACATTCATGAGGCCGCTTTCTGGCCTGACTTCTTTTGTGTTTTCGAAGAGAGGTGAGCCAATTGAAGACGTTTCCACGTTCATAAGGTTTCTCACTAGTGTGTGTTCTTTCCTGATTTCTAAGAGAAGTGGAGCTAAAAGCTTTTTCAGATTTCTGACATTGATAGGGTTTTTTTGCAGTGAGCGCTCTTTCATTTTCTCCAGAGTACTTGGGAGACCTGAAAGCTTTGCCATGTTGCTTACTTTGATATGGTTTCTCTCCACTATGAGTATTTTTGTGAAGTTTAAGGAAAATGAGACAACTAAAGCATTTCCCACATTGCTTACACTCATATGGTTTCCCAGAAATACGCATTCTTTCATGATTTCTAAAGGAAGCTTTCCCACTGGGACTGCCTTCATGACTTTGAATATGTTGGTGAGGCTTGAAAGCTTTCTCAGGTTCCTCATATTTATAAAGGTTTTCTTCATTTTCCTGACACAGGTATAGGTTGGGTCCAATGTGAGAGCTCAGATGGTTATTCAAGGATAAGTAACGCATGAAGATTTGCCTACACAACCTGGATTTAGGTTGTTTTATTTCAGAAATTTCTTTCTTTTTATTATTATTATTTGGAATCTGGATGAAGTTTTCTCTGCATTGACTACCATCCTTCCTTGTACAGAGTCTCTCTACCATATGACTGCTGTAAAAATCAGAAGCATATTATTAATACTCTATGAATGATTTAACATTTATTAATATTATGACAATGACATTTTTACCATTTCCAAAGAAAGGGTAGGGTTTCAGGACATTCCATTTTTAAAAGTGGATATCATAAAAGTTCTGATATAGGCTGAATCATAGGTATTATGAAAACACTTATATTCATTAATGGTACTTCTTATATTGTTTCCAAGTGGAATTATTTTTTATACATTAAACATCTAGGTCATATTTGGGAAAAAAAATTTTAATGAGATAATTCTAAGAACCCCTATATTTAAAACTGGGCTGAACCCCTATATTTAAAATTGGATTATCTGTTTTTAAGATTCTTTTGTGGACTGGGCCGATATGGCTCAGTGGTTCAGGATAAATCCACACACCAGAGGCTAACCAGTTCAATTCTCTGAAAGGGAACATGGCCAGACTACAGACTTATTAAATCCAGTACAGGGCATGCAGGAAGCAGTCTATTGATTTTTCTATCTCTCCCTCTCACCTCCACATATGAAAGTCAAGAAAAACATATTTTGCACTACCAGCGAAGCTCAGTGGTTGAGCACTGACCTCTGAACCAGGTAGTCATATTCAATTTCTGGTCAGGGCACATTGCCAAGTTCTGGACATGATTTCAAATTTGGGGCATGAAAGAGGCAGCCATCAATAATTCTCTCTCATCACTGATGTTTCTCTTCTCCTTCTTTCTACCTCTTTGAAATAAATTTTTAAAATATTAAATAAATAAATAACATATATATAAACCTATTTAAAAAAACACACCTACATAAAAATGCTCTTAATGCTTTGTCATGTCAATGAGACTCACCTAAGATTCATCCAAGAATTTTCATATTGATCTTCACTGTCATGGTTGTCACATTGGTCTTCTAAAATACATGCTAAAAAAAAAAAAAAAATTATTAACTATTAAAGAATATAAAAAATGGTCAGATTCGCCGAAACCGGTTTGGCTCAGTGGACAGAGCATCGGTCTGTGGACTGAAAGGTCCCGGGTTCGATTCCAGTCAAGGGCATGTACCTTGGTTGCGGGCACATCCCCGGTAGGGGGTGTGCAAGAGGCAGCTGGTCGATGTTTCTCTCTCATAGACGTTTCAAGTTCTCTATCTCTCTCCCTTCCTCTCTGTAAAAAAAAAAAAAAAGTCAGATTTTAGGTACAAAATGAGCTATGATCATTCCTGGTTTAATTAACAATGTACTCCCTTTCCATATTCCAGTTCTTGATGAGCAAGCAACACTAGTTTTCTAATTGCCTAAGTAACAAGTAATTGCAGGCAAGAACTGTTCTGCGTTTTACCATCAACCTATGAACCAGTATGAATCAGGAGGTCACAGGTCAATTTCCAGTAGAACCGGTTTGCAGGCTAGATCCCCAATGATTCTCTCTCATCATTGATTTTTCTCTCATTCTCTTGCTCTCCTTCCTCGCTAAATCAATAAAAATATTTTTTTTATTTTTATTTATTTTTTATTTTTTAACTTTTAAAATATATTTTATTGATTTTTTACAGAGAGGAAGGGAGAGAAATAGAGAGCTAGAAACATCGATGAGAGAGAAACATGGACCAGCTGCCTCTTGCACACCCCCTACTGGGGATGTGCCCACAACCCAGGTACATGCCCTTGACCGGAATTGAACCTGGGACCCTTCAGTCCGCAGACCCACACTCTATCACTGAGCCAAACCGGTTTCAGCTATAAAAATATTTTTTTTAAAAATTTGTGATACCTACCTACTGATGCCAGGTTCCAGAAGGTTTCCAACATCACATCTGTGTAGAGTTTCTTCTGGGTGGGATCCAGGAAAGCCCACTCCTCCGTGGTAAACTCCACATTAACATCCTCAAAGGCCACTAAGTCCTAAAACATCCCACATATGCATATGGGAGAATGGGTGAGATAGACAGCACTGGGGACCTGAGTGGGTTAATAACTCATAAAAAGTTCACATAGGACACATGGTCCCCAACACTCAGTCTATCACTTGATTATAGTAAGACTATTATTAGATTGCCAAACTCACTTCCTCAAGAACACATGGAATTTGATATGATTTTACTGTGATCACTTTAAGTCTTCATTACTCTCAAATGTCAGGGTAAAGAGCACCTTGAACAACTTCTATATTAATACATTAAAATACTTCTATGTTAAGCCCATTGATTCCTTGTGAGAAAATTCATCCCTCTTATAACCACCATTTGATGCAGCTGTCCATGAAACATATTGTCATGTGTGCATAAAGTTTTAGTGACTATGAATATAATTAAGGCCTGGTAGCTTTCTCTTCTATTTTCATCACCAAACAGGAGAGGCCAGGTGGTGTGTGAAAATTTCAATTAAAACAAAATGTACTTGGCCATATTGTCCTGAAGTACTCCAGATTATTAGAAGTAGTCAGATATCCCTTAATGAATGAAAATATTCTTGTGGAGGAGTATGAATGATCAATTGTTTTTATATTCTTTGTTAGTAACTCTGGAGAAGTAACCAACAACATCATAGAAATACAAAGAAAATACTATGAACAACCATATGACAACAAGCTGGACAATGTTGATGAAATGGAGAAATTCCTAAAAAGATACAATTTCCTAAAACTGAATCAGAAGGAATCAGAAAACCTGAATAGGCCAATAACAACTGATAAAATAGAAGTACCCTGTTTCCCCAAAAATAAGACAGTGTCCTATATTAATTTTTTTCTCCCAAAGTTGTGCTAGGTCTTATTTTCAGGGGATGTCTTATCTTTCCATGTGCTAGGTCTTATTTTCGCAGGATGTCTTATTTTCGGGGAAACACGGTAGATTTAAAAAACTCCCAGCTAACAAAAGCCCAGGTCTGGACGGCTTCACAGGGGAGTTCTTCTTTAACCAAAGAAGAACTAACAGGCCAATATCTCTCTGAACATATTATAGATGCTAAAATCCTCAATAAAATTCTAGCAAGTTGGATCCAGCAGTTCATCAGAAAGTTCATACACCATGACCAAGTAGGATTTATCTCAAGGATGCAAAGATGCCACAATATCCAAAAATCAATAAAAGTGATATTTCACATACACAAATTGAGAGATTTAAAAAAAAATCACAGTTATATCAATTGATGCAGAAAAACATTTGACAAAATCCAACATGCTTTCTTGATAAAACTCTCAGCAAAGTGGGAATAGAAGGATCATACCTCAACATAAAAGCCATATATGACAAACCCACAGCCAACATCATACTCAATGGGCAAAAACTGAAACCATTTTTCGTAAGAACAGGAACAAGACAGGATGCCCACTCTCACCACTCCTGTTCAATACAGTAATGGAAGTGCTAGCCATTGCAATTAGATATGAAAAAGAAATAAAAGGCATCCAAATTGGAAAAGAAGTAAAGCGGTCCTTATTGGCAGATGACATAATACTGTACATAGAAAACCCTGAAGATTCTATCAAAAAATTATTAAACTTAGTAAATGAATTTGGCAATGTATCAGGACACAAAATTTTTTAAAAATATATTTTATTGATTTTTTACAGAAAGGAAGGGAGAGAGATAGAGAGCTAGAAACGTTGATGAGAGAGAAACATCGACCAGCTGCCTCTTGCACACCCCCTACTGGGCATGTGCCCGCAACCAATGTACATGCCCTTGACCGGAATCGAACCTGGAACCTTTCAGTCCGCAGACCGATACTCTACCGTTGAGCCAAACCGGTTTCGGCAGGACACAAAATTAACTCCAAGAAATCTATGGCATTTCTATACACCAATAGTGAACTTACAGAAAGAGAGACTAAAAAAGCAATCCCATTTACCATCACACCAAAAATATTAAGATACCCAAGAATAAACTTAACTAAGGAGGTAAAAGACCTATACGCAGAAAACTACAGGATACTGAAAAAAAGAGACAGAGGAAGACAAACAGATGAAAGAACATACAATGTTCATGGATTGGTAGAATCAATATCATTAAAATGTCCATACTACCCAAAGCAATCTATAGATTCAATGCACTCCCCATTAAAATACCAATAGCATACTTCACAGACCTAGAATGAACTTTCCAAAAATTCATATGAAATAAAAAAAAAGACCCCAAATAGCTTCAGCAATCCTGAGAAAGAAGAAAAAATTAGGTGGGATCTCAATACGAGATTTCAAGCTGTATTACAAAGCCACTGTTCACAAAACAGCCTTGTAGTGGCACAAAAACAGACATGTAGATCAATGGGATAGAATAGAGAACTCAGAAATCAACCCAAACCACTATGCTCAATTAATATTTGACAAAGGAGGCATGACAAAGGAGTCAAAACAGTCTCTTCAATAAATGGTGTTGATAAAATTGGACAGATACATGCAAAAAAATTCAAACGAGACCACCAACTTTTACCATATACAAAAATAAACTCAAAATGGATAACGGGCTTAAACATAAGATAGAAAACTATAAAAATACTAGAGGAATCCACAGACAGCAACATCTTAGTCATATGCTGAAGCAATTTCTTCAACAATACCACTCCTAGGGCATGGAAAATAAAAGAGAAAATAAACAAATGGGACTAAATCAAAATAAAAAGCTTTTACACAGCAAAAGAAACCACAAGAAAGCCTACTGCATGGGAGAACATATTTTCCAATGTTATCACCGATAAGGGCTTAATCCCTAACATTTACAGGGTACTCATGCAACTTAACCAAAGGAAGATAAACGATCCAAACACAAAAGGCAAAGGAGCAGAAACCGGTTTGGCTCAGTGGATAGAGCATCGGACTGAGGACTGAAAGGTCCCAGGTTCGATTCTGGTCAAGGGCATGTACCTTGGTTGTGAGCACATCCCCAGTAGGGGGTGTGCAAAAGGCAGCTGATTGATGATTCTCTCTCATCAATGTTTCTAACTCTGTATCCCTCTCTCTTTCTCTCTGTAAAAAATCAATAAAATATATTTTTTAAAAGATACATAAATTCCAACAGAAATGGCTGCCGGCCACAGAGTAAACAGGAGGCTTGGCTCTGTTCCAGGCTACAAAGTTTCAATTACAGAAGATACATAAACCCCAATATAAATGGCTGCTGCCAACAAGCGATCAGAAGGCTTGGCTCTGCTCCAGGCTACAAAGTTTCAATTACAGAAGATACATAAACCCCAGATACCAGGGCCTCTGCTTGGGTCACCGAGGGGCGTGGCTGGCCTGAAAACCACCACAGGCCCCTCACTCAAGCCATCCCACGCCCCAAGGGAACCCCCACCCTGGTCCGGGACATCCTTCAGGGCAAACCAGCCATGCCCCCCCCCCCCAGTGCACCAGGTCGCTAGCCTATCTATTAAAAGAGTAATATGCAGATTGACCATCACTCCCACACACAAGATGGCTGCCCCCATGTGGTCAAAGATCCTGTCCTCATGTGGATACAAGTTGGCCACCACAAGATGGCCAGCAAGGGAGGCAGTTGGGACGGACCAGGCTGGCAGATGAGGGAAGTTGGGAGTGACCGGGCATGCAGGAAAGGGCATATGGGGGGAGGGAGGGGACCGAGGCCTGCAGTGGAGAACAGTTGGGGAGAACCAGGCCTGCAGGGGAAAGCAGTTAGGGGTCACCAGGCCAGCAGGAGAGGAAAATTGGGGGTGACCAGACCTGCAGTGGAGAGCTGTTGGAGGAACAGGGGGACCAGGCCTGCAGGAGACAGCAATTAGGGGCAAACAGACTGGCAGGGGAGAAGTTAGACATCAATCAGGCTGGCAGGGGAGTGGTTAGGGGTGATTAGGCTGGCAGGCAGAAGCAGTTAAGGGCAATTAGGAAGGAAGGCAGGCGAGCAGTTGGGAGCCAGCAGTCCTGGATTGTGAGAGGGATCCCAGATTGGAGAGGGTGCAGGCTGGGCTGTTTACCTTGTATAACTGAATTTTGTGCACCAGGCCTCTAATATATATATATCTTTTACCATTTGCAACAGCATGGATGGACCTGGAGAGCATTATTCTAAGTGAAATAAGCCAGAGAAAGATAAACATCATATGATCACACTCATATGTGAGATATAATGAACATAAACTGATGAACAAAAATAGATCCAGAGGCTAAGAAACACTGGACAGACAGTCCAACCTCAGAAAGAAGGGAGGGGAGGGGAGAAGGATGAGAGGTCAACCCAAGGACTTGTATGCATGCATATTAGCATAACCAATGGACATGGACACTGGGGCTTCTCCTGAAGGCAGTGGGGGTGCAGGTGGGGTGTCATTAGGGGAAAAAGAAATATATGTAGTACTTTAAACAATAGAAAGGAAAGAAAATGGTGCACACACACAGGAATATTATTGTATTATTCAGCCATTAGAAAAAGAAATTCTGCCACTTGTAACAACACATTCCTGGATGTGAGGGCAGGATGCTTTGTGGGGAAAAAAGCCAGAAAAAGAGAAATGCCATGTGTTCTCACTTATCTGTGGAAGCTTAAAAAAAAAAAAAAAAAAAAAAAAAAAAACCTCCATTGATACACAGCACAGATTGATTGATGGTTGCTAGAGGTTGCAGGAGTGGTGTACGGGGTGAGGTGGGGGTCAAATGGATGAAAGGTGTCAAAAGGTACAAACTTCCAGTTATAAGTTGCTAAGAGTAAATCTTAAAAGCTCTCTTTTAAAAAAAAAAAACATTCTGTAAGTCTATACGATGACAGACGCTAACTAGACTCATTGTGATGGTCACTTCACAATAATACACATACCAAATCATTATGCTGTGCACCTGAAACTAATATAATGTAAGTCAACTGTAACTTAAAAAACATTAGTGGATTTGAAAAACTGCAATCACCTAGTGACGCCATACCCATCACAGTGTCACAGGGAGATGCATTGCTCAGATGTTTATGTAAGCAAGCTGCCTGTGCGGCCAGTCCTGTGAAAGCCCAGCACATACAGTTACGGTCACTGCATAGAAACCTGATGATGGTGAGTTGGTTCATGGATTTGCTATACTGTCCTCTGTATCCATGTGAGCTTTCCACTGAGTGAAAGAAAACTCTGCTGTGAAGCAGTGTGCTGGTTTATGCGGGCAGCAGCCTCAGAGGCCTTGTGCTGACAGAGCCTTTTGATTGCCTCACTGGCTCCTGGGCTTGATGGATCTGTGTGTGTACATTTCCTGGCCTCAGTGTGCAGTGTGATACAGTCTACAGTCGGCACAGGAGCGTCCTAGGCCTTCACATTCACTCACCGACCACCGACTCCTGCAGAGCAGCCTCCAGTCCTGTAGCCCATCCAGGGTCAGTGCCCACACGGGTGAACCATTTTCTATCTTGCCACCATATTTTTATTGCACCTTCTCATAAATGCTTACTGACACTACGTTACAACTGCCGACAGTACTCAGTACAGCAGCACGTTGCACAGGTTTGCTGCCTGGGACCCACAGGCTACCCCGTTTGGCCTAGGTGTGTAGCAGGCTACACCATGCAGGTGTGTGTAAGAACTGAAAACAACAACACTGCCTCAAGGTTCAGGGGTGCTTGCCTGTGTGTAACTGCAGTTCCGCCTCTCCCACTTCCTTTCTGCATTTAATAGTAAACGCCTTCCATTTGAACAGCTCCTCAGATTCTATTTACCAGATGGGAAGCAACCCGATCCGTGAATAGGAATCAAGCCAGTTAACCTTCCACTTGCTCAACTGAATTTGTTTGTAACCGTTTGAAAAGCACCACAACACAAACCGCTGATAAGGATGCTGTGACTCAGAGGAGGGAACGCGGGGTTCAGGGTCCGGGGAGAGGCTGGGATGCGGCATTGGCTGCAGAGCAGGGCCTGGGGGACGGGGGCTGGAGAGCCTGCTCCACACACATCACACCCGGGAGAGCACGGTCCCTCTGGGGGAGGAGGGACAGGCCACAGCCCACAGCTGCCCCCGGGCACGGGCCGCGGAGGCCGAGCCCCGTGTCCCCACGGGCCCTCCACGCGGCCCCGCACCCACTGCGGAGCCCGGGCTGCGGGCGCGGAGCCGCCCGGACTCGCTGCGCAGCCCCGGCCCCGCCGCGGGGACCCCCTGGGCCCGGGTCCCGGCGGGGCCCCTGCGAGCCCGAGGGGCCTGCAGCCTCCGCGGAGCCCGGGCGCCTGGGTCCGCAGCCCGGACCTGCCCGCGGACAGACGGCCCCGGCGGCTCCCGCCCTCCTGCCGCCCCCGCGCCGGCCGCCACTCACCATGTCTGTTCCCGGCCCGCGGCCCCCGCGGCCCCACCGCCCAGATAGAACGCGGACCGAGGAAAGAAATTCGAAGAGTATTCGAGCTGAATGAACTTCCGTGTAGTAACAGAGCGTAGCCCCACCCACCTGGCGCCCAGCTCAGCTGCAGACACTTCGCAGACAGCGCCCCCCAGCGCCCGAGGTGCACAGGCCTGAGCCCAAAGCAGCCACAGCTCCTGTCCAGTGAGTTTGCACTGAGGGGCAGGGCTGAGAACAAAGGTCCTTCCTTGCAAACACACACCCTGAAAAGGCACCTGATGAATCTGGCTCCATTTTTATCTTTGTTGACAGCTGGGGTCTGACGTGTGCATTTGCCAAAAAGGTGCACAGGCTCAGGGACCAGGAATGCCTTAGGATGGGATCCTTCCAGAACTACAGCCAGATTCCCAGAAAGAGCATTGAAACCAGGCTATCATGTCCAGCGGTAAAAGTGACTTCTGCATATTTAGAATGGTTACCTTTAGCAAATGTTTTTCACATGAAAAGATGTGTTCCCACTGGTGATTCAGCCATGGTCCTCTGAGGTCATGAGCCACCCCTTACTTGTGGTTATCTTGTGGGCAGTTGCACAGACCCACGCAGAGCAGGGAGATGGGCCTGGTACAGAGGTCACCAGGGTGGAAGGCCAGCTGTCCAGCCCATTGCCTAGTCCCCAGGGTGACTTTTCCCGCTCTAGCAGATCACTGGTCCTGTGGCTTGGACCTCCTGATCTAGAGATAACATCTATGCCTCATTGCATTTTGGCTCCTGGCCCAAATAAGCAACAAAATGCCAGGGCTGACATCAGGACCAGCTGCACTGAATAATGACCCCTGCCCTGGTGCCAGGTCTGTGGTCAGCAAACTGTGGTTCATGAGCCACATGCAGCTCTTTGGCCCCTTGAATGTGGCTCTTCCACAAAATACCATGGCCTGGGCGAGTCTATTTTGAAGGGGTGTTAGAAGAAGTTTAAGTTTAAAAAATTTGGCTCTCCGTCGGCCTGCGGACTGAAGGGTCCCAGGTTTGATTACGGTCAAGGGCATGTACCTTGGCTGCGGGCACATCCCCGGTAAGGGGTGTACAAGAGGCAGCTGGTAGATGTTTCTCTCTCATTGACGTTTCTAGCTCTCTATCCCTCTTCCTTCCTCTCTAAAAAAATCAATAAAATATATATTTTTAAAATAAATAAAAAATTTGGCTCTCAATAGAAATTTCAATCGTTGTACTGTTGATGTTTGGCTCTGTTAACTAATGAGTTTGCTGACCTCTGTGCCAGCAAATCCATCAGTGGAGACCACATCCCTCAATAGACACACCTGGAAAGCTACACAATATTCCATCAGCTCTTCCCCTGCAAAATAACCCTGTAATCTCCACCCTAAAACCTTTAGGAAAGAGGACCCAGTGCGCTTTCCCTCCCTGGAGCACACCTGTACCTTCCCTTTCCTTTCCATCTCCTCTCCCCCCACCACTCCAGGCAGGTTACCTTTAGCTTGCTCTCCCAAGTTCCAAGGGGCTTTATGTTACCTCCTTAACTCCTTTCCTAAGCACACTTCTTCTAAAAATTACCTCTCACACCTCTGTAATTTACCCAGTAAATATTCTCTTACCCTTTGGGTCTTGCTCTGAGTTCTTTCCTAGCCAGAACCAAAGTACTCAGGCTGCTGAACCCACATTTGGTTTGAGCCCAGTCAGACACCTGGTGCCATTCCTGTTGCCTACCAGTTACACTGTTTAATCCAGCAATAATGAGATTCATCAGAAAACTGGGTTCCATCTGTCAATGTAAGAATCAAACCATAAGAGAATTTTTGTGAGTTTGTCAGGAAGCAAAATGTCAATCGTTCCAAGGAATGGCAGTTTTGTACCTTATGTATAATAATAATAGAAGCATAATATGCTAATTAGACCAGATGTCCTTCCAGATGAAGCCAGGGCTGGGAGGGAAGCTAAGGTCCCAGGTGCCTGCTGGCGGTCAGAGGGAAGCCAGTGCCAACAGCCAGGGGAAGGAAGGAATTCTCTTGCAGGAATTTTGTGCATCGGTTCTTGAGATTTATATATTACAATCAGAAGATTCAAGTGGGTTACATGATATCCACTGGTGATACATTAGGGGTAAGAGCAGGTGGTTCCTGTAGTCCCTGTCACGGCAAACACAAGGGCCAGAATAGATTTAGTGTTGCTGCATCCACCTGCACCATGGAAACCATCAGGTCTCAAAACTCACCCTACAAGGTGGTCTTTTCATCAAAGAGCTCCACTGAGAAGGCACAAGGAGTTCCTTGTATGGATAGATTTTCCCCGTAGCCCTGGCATATGGCCCATATGGTCACACATGGTTCAAGCAGCCGCTCTGTGGGAGGGTCACTGAGAAGATGCTACAGCTGCTGAACCAATGAGCTATAACTGGGCAATCACATTCCTTCCTCCCACCCCTGTCCTTGGGATATATGTTCTTTCCACTGATGGAGAACTAGGCCATTCCAAGGACACAGCTTTGATAGAATAATGTGTTGCTAATTCCACCTGAACCGTGTACATGACCCAGTGAAGGCTCCTAGGTAAACTCTGAAGATTCTGGTGGGCAGTGTGGAGATCTGCTCCTCTTCTGTCCACCCAAGACAGCCCTGGTATAGAAGTTCCTTTCCTGATTAAAATTGACACTTAAAACTCAGGAGTGGCCGAACTGGCATGGCTCAGTGGTTGAGCATCAACCCATAAATCAGAAGTAAAGTATGGGTAATACAACATTTTTTAAATTAATTTTTTAAATATATTTTATTGATTTTACACAGAGAGGAATTTGAGAGGGACAGAGAGTTAGAAACGTCGATGAAAGAGAAACATCGACCAGCCGCCTCCTGCACACCCCCTACCAGGGATGGGCCTGCAACCAAGGTACAACCAAGGTACATTCTTTACTTCTCTGGACAAAGAGAAGTAAAGAATCTATTTCTTTGTCTCCTCCCCTGTCAAGAAGCCATTTGTCTTTTACCCCTCTACCAATGCTCTCAAATAATTTCCAAATATTATCCTTGACCGGAATCGAACCTGGGACCTTTCAGTCTGCAGGTCGACGCTCTATCCACTGAGCCACACCGGTCCCGGCGGGTAATACAACATTTTTTATCATAAATTGTTTATTTGATGTTTCTATCTCTCTCTTCCCTTCTTCCTTCCTCTCTGAAATCAATAAAGAAATATATTTTATGGGGTGAGAGGGTATGTACGGGGGGGAAACAATGTTAAAATATGTACACAGTTAATAATTTAATAAAATTCAATGGGAAATATATATATATTTTAAAATAATATCAAAGTAACCTATTTCTTGTTTTTCCATTGATTTTTTAGAGATAGGAAGAGAGAGGGAAAGAAAGAGAACATCAATGTGAAAGAAAGATATCTATTGGTTGTCTCCTGCATGAGCCCTGACCATGCCTCAGCTAGGGAAGAGCCAGCAACCAAGGTACCTGCCCTTGACTGGAATCAAATCCAGGACCCTTTGGTCTGTAGGCTGACACTCTAACCCTTGAGCCAAACTGGCTAGGACTATCTTATATCTTTTAAATGTATTTTTGTAGATTTCAAATAGGAAGGGAGAGGGAGAGATAGAAATATCAATGATAGTTGAGAATCACTGATCGGCTGCCTCCTGGGGATCAAGACCCCAAACAGGGCATATGCCCTGAGGAGTCTAACCCTGACCTACTGGTATGTAGGTCGACGTTCAACCACTGAGCCACGCTGACTGAGCTATATCTGCCAACTTTTTAAAAACAGTGCCTGGAACTTGGAAAGAACAAATTACATGATAGCTATTACCACTTCAAGTGAAGATCATTTCCTTCATCTATAATATGGTAGAGAAACTAGATACAATGACTCTATAATAAAATACAGAAACCTGATTACTTCACCTGTGACATATTCCAAAAAACACATACACACCAATTATTTCCACATTGAAAGAGTTTTCTGGACAAAGAGAAGTAAAAAATCTATTTCTTTGTCTCCTCCCCTGTCAAGAAGCCATTTGTCTTTTACCCCTCTACCAATGCTCTCAAATAATTTCCAAATATTATCCAAGATTTTGGTTTCTAACACTGGAATAGTTTTTGATTTACATGTTTTTTATTGATTTCAGAGAAGGGAGAAATAGAAACACCAATGGTGACAGAATCATTGATCTGCTGCCTCCTGCAGTTCTACTAATGGGGACCACCCCCACAACCTGGGCAGGTGCCCTTGACCAGAATCGAACCTGAGACCCTTCAGTCTGTAGGCTGACCCTCTATCCACTCAACAGAGTTGGCTCGGGCTAAGTATGTTTTTTATTACAGGAATTCCTCAACTCAGAACCTAGAAGGGTAGAGGGACAATTGTATTTCCTTATACAATATACTGTAGAGGAGTAAGGATGAGGGCTTAATCACAAGGAACAACAGCCTGTAATTATTGTAATCAAGTTAGGCTGAGCTCATGAGCTCGTTTGCCAACCATTGGGCTCTTGAAAAGAAAGTCAGCATGCCGAAACCGGTTTGGCTCAGTGGATAGAGCGTTAGCCTGCGGACTGAAAGGTCCCAGGTTTGATTCCGGTCAAGGGCATGTACCTTGGTTGATGGCACATCCCCAGTGGAGGGTGAGCAGGAGGCAGCTGATGGATGTTTCTCTCCCACTGATATTTCTAGCTCTCTCTCTAAAAAAATCAATAAAGTATATTTTTTAAAAGAAAAAATAAGTAGGAATACATTTTTTTGCATGTTTCCAACTCTCTATCCTTCTTCCTTCCTCTACATAAAAAAAAGTGTCTAGGCCTATGACATGGAAGATCATTTTTAGCTTTTTTACTGAATGGTAGCATTGATATCCACAAAACACCAAAACAGGCAACTTGCTCAGATTGAAAGTGATTTAGCTATGTAATTGCTGGTGAAACAGATTTCTATGATTATACTCATTGTAAAGCTAAAAGCTACAAATCCAGGAACTCTGCGGTAGCTTAGCGTCAACCAAGAAGCAGAACCACTTACTGCATTCATTTTTCTAAATCTCCCAATTTACTTATTTATTTTATTTTCATACATTGTCAATTTATGAATCACACCCATAAAAACTTACAATCAAATTGTCTTTAAAGTTCATTTTATCCTTTACAATATATACTGTTTAAAAATATATTTTTATTGAAGGGAGAGGGAGAAAGAGATAGAATGAGGAAAATCATGATGCACACAGAGCCAGGACTGTGAGGCCAGGTGCACGTCAGGCGAAGCACTCGGTTCCCAGAGCAGATGCCCACTGTATGTGGGCTGGGGACCTCACTGGGATCTGGCATCTGCTCAGCCACCACCCAGCAGCCAATCCCCATGGGGACCCAGGAAAATAAGGCCGAAGCCAGTGTGTCAGGGACCCCACCCCACCCTGGTCCTCCTCCTACCATCCCGCACCCAGGACTGGCCCCTCTCTGAGGCTTCTTTCTTTCACTTCTTTCATGTCTTCCAAGTTATGAGACACTTGAAAGTTTTCTCACATTACTTACAATACATTCAGAAGGTTCCCAGCTTGTCTCCACTACGTGTGCTTTAACCTGTTAACTGGGGAGTTCCCTTTTTAATGACGCAACCTATAATGGGTGCATACTCTTTCACTAGGATGTGTCAGTACATCACGCCCGGAGGACGTAATTTCATATTATTATTATTTTTTATTTATACTTAATTAAAATAAATGATATATATATATTTTTTTCTGTTATTTATATATAAAGCACAAAGGAAAATACAAAATTACAAAAAAATAGAAAAGAATACCAACAAAAATGTGGAAACATCAAATTAAAAAATTATAAATTTTACAAACAATTATAAAGATTACAAAAAATATATACCGTCCCTCTCGGGGCGTAACATGTATTTCCAGGACGTATTCATACATCCTACCCATTCCCGATATTGTTTACATTTGACGTATTTATAGGTCCCGCTCAGTTAACAGGTTAATGTCTGGGCGTGTGCAAGAGGCAACCAATTGATGTGTTTCTCTTACATCGATATTGCTGTCTTTCTGACTTCCATTCTCTCAATGGAAAAATATCCTCAGGTGAGGATAAAAAAAAGTACTAGAATACTCAAAGGCTTTTCTACAATCTTTCCAACAATAGAGCTTATTTTTAGTATGAGTTCTTTCATGTAGATTTGTCTACACTATGAAGGTTTCTGTGAATTCGAAGGGATCTGGGATGAATAAAAAATTTCCCCTATTGCTTACATTAACAGGGTTTTTCCTTATTATGAATTCTTTTATGACGTTTGAAGGAACTTGGATCAGAGAAAGCTTTACCACAATGGTTACATTCATAGGGTTTTTCCCCAGTATGAATTCTTTCATGAATTTTAAGATACACGGAAAGACTGAAAACCTTACCACATTGATGGCATTCATAGGGTTTTACCCCACTATTTCCAGGGTGTTCTTTCATATGTGTTCTTTCATGCCTGCGACAGGACTGTAGATAACTGAAGGCTTTTCCACAATGCTTACATTCATAGGGTTTTACCCCACTATGAATCATTTCATGATCTTGGAGAGAAGATGGAAAATCAAAACCTCTACCACAATGCTTACATTCATAGGGTCTTACCCCAGTATGAGTTCTTTCGTGACGATGGAGGGCACCTCGATCACAGAAAGCTTTGCCACACTGCTGACATTTATAGGGTTTTTCCCCAGTATGAATGCTTTCATGACGTCGGAGGGAAGTTTGATTAGATAAAACTTTACCACAATGCTCACATTTATAGAGTTTTTGCCCGGTATGAATGCTTTTATGACGTTGCAGGACATCCTGACCATAGAAAGCTCTGCCACACTGCTCACATTTATATGGTTTTTCCCCAGTATGAGTGCTTTCATGACGATGGAGGGAAATGCGATTATATAAAACTTTACCACAATGCTGACATTTATAGGGTTTTTGCCCAGTATGAATGCTTTCATGACGTTGCAAGACATCCTGACCATAGAAAGCTCTGCCACACTGCTCACATTTATATGGCTTTTCCTTAGTATGAATTCTTTCATGACGTCGAAGGGAAGCTGGACTAGATAAATATTTACCACATTGCTTACATTCATAGGGTTTCCCATCAGTATGAATTATTTTATGACTTCTAAGTAAAGAGGGATAAGGAAATGTTTTACCACATTCCTTACATTCATGAGGCTGCTTTTCGAAATGACTTATTTTATGTTTTCGAAGAGAGCTGCGCAAATTGAAGACTTTGCCACAGTGCTTACATTTATAAGGTTTCTTGCCAGTATGTGTAGTTTTATGATTTGGAAGAGAAGTGGAACTGAAAGCTTTTCCAGATTTCTGACATTGGTAGGGCTTTCTTTGTCTTCTTTCATTTTCTCCAGAGTACTTGGGAGACCTGAAAGCATTGCTACATTGCTTACTTTGATATGGTTCCTCTCCACTATGAGTATTTTTGTGAACTTTAGAGTAAACGAGATGACCAAAGCCTTTCCCACACCCATATAGTTTTCCAGCAATATGTGTCCTTTCATTATTTCTACTGGAAGTTGAGTAGTGAAAAGCTTTCCCACTGGGACTGCCTTCATGTCTTCGAATATGCTGATGGTGCTTGAAAGCTTTCTCAGGTTCCGTCCACTTATAAGGGTTTTCTTCATATTCCTGACACAGGTATAGCTTGGGTCCAATGTGAGAACTCAGGTGGCTATTCAAGGATAAATAATGCATGAAGATTTGCCTACACAATCTGGACTTAGATTGCTTTTTTTCAGTAGGAGTTTCCTTCTTTTCATTATGATTTGGAATCTGGCTGAAGTTTTCTCTGGATTTACTACCATCCTTCCTTGTACAAAGTCTCTCTACTGTATGATTGCTGTAAAAATCAGAAGCATATTATTAATACTCTGTTAGTTATTTAATATTTAATAATAATATGACAATGATATTTTTACTGTTGTCAAGAAAAGTGTGGTATTTCTGTACATTCTGATTTTTGAAAGTGGATATCCTAAAACGTCTGAAATAGTCTGGATCATAGATATTATGAAAACACTTATACTCCTTAATGGTAGTTCTGTATATTGTTTCCAAGAGTAATTATTTTTGTATACATTAAACATTAGGTCATATTTCAGAAAAAAACATTTAGAGATAATTCTAAGAACCAATATATTTAAAACTGGGCTGATGCAATTGGATTACCTGTCTTTAAGATTGTTTTGTGGACCAGGCTATGTGGCTCACTGGTTCAGCATGGACCCATGCACCAGAGATTGATGGTTCAATTCCCTGAAAGGGAACATGGCCCGACTATAAGACTTATTAACTCCAGAACAGAGCATGAAGGAGGCAGCTAATTGATGTTTCTATCTCACCTCCACAACCTAAAATTAATGAAAACATATTTTAGCACCTCCGGTGTGGCTCAGTGGTTGAGTGCCAACCTCTGAAGAAGAAGAAGGTCACAGTTCGATTCCCAGTAAGGGCATATGCCCAGGTTCTGGGCTTGATTCCAAGTGAGGGGCATGCAGGAGGCAGGTGTCAATAATTCTGTCTCATCACTAATGTTTCTCTTTCACCCTCTCCCTACCTATCTGAAATAAATTTTAAAATATTAAATAAATAAAATAAGTATATAAAAACATTTAAAAACAACAACATTGATGCTCTTAATGCTTTCTCGTGTTAATGTGACTCACCTATGATTCATCCCCTGATTTTCATACTGATCTTCACTATCATGGTCTTCACATTTTTCTTCTAAAATACACACTAGAAAGAACATTATAAATTATTAAAGAATATTAAAAATGGTTAGATTTTAGGGACACAATGAGCTGTGATCATTCCTAGTTTAATTACCATTGTACTCCCTTTCTGTATTTCAGGTTTTGAAACAGCATTGATGAGCAAGCAATTAGTTTTCCAAATGACTAAATGAGTAAACTGTTGCAGGCCAGAGTAGCTCTGTGGTTGATGGTCAACCAATGAGCCAGGAGGTCACAGGTCAATTCCCAGTAGGACCAGTTTGCAGGCTAGATCCTTAGAGTGTGAAGTGAGGAGGCTAAAAGGCTAATTCCCATGTAACCTTGATATTTGCAGGAGAGTGGGGAGGACTAGCAATCTGAATCCATGCCAGCAAGCTCAATGTACATTCTTTTTTTTTAATTTTTATTGACTTTTTACAGAGAGGAAGAGAGAGAGATAGAAAGCTAGAAACATCAATGAGAGAGAAACATCAATCAGCTGCCTCCTGCACACCCCTTACTGGGGATGTGCCCGCATGTCCTTAACTGGAATCGAACCTGGGACCTTTCAATCTGCAGGCCGACGCTCTATCCACTGAGCCAAACCAGTTTCAGCTCAGTGTACATTCTTGATAATCTATAATTAAGTCACTACCGCTTTCACAGAAACTGGATTTGCAGAACCTATTACAGAGGCCATAAAACTGAACAGTGCACTGCCCCAGAGGGAGGGTTACTAACACTGGGGCCAGGCCAAACCATCAGATATGGCCTGGAGACCCCCCACACCTAGGGGGCTTCTTGCAAAGTCTGCAAAAAAGACCAGAAGCATAATCCATATTTGTGGAACAAAGACTCCAGAAAGATATAAAAGAAAAACCCCCTACGTGTTACTTTACTCAGATTTGAAAAGTTATCCCGAGTCTGCCGGCGTAAATAAACAGTGTCACTCCTTTTCTCTAAAGCGTTGCTTAGTTTTTCTCTGGTCTATTGCAATATGAGGCTCAGGAGGTAGCCAATTAGAGACTCTTCTCCCATCATTGATTTTTCTCTCTTTCTCTCCCTCTCTCTCTCTCTCCTTCCTCTCTAAAATGAATAAAAATGTATTTTAACAAAAGAATTTGTGACACCTACCTACTGACGCCAGGTTCCAGAAGGTTTCCAGCATCACATCCGTGTAGAGTTTCTTCTGGGTCGGATCCAGGAAAGCCCACTCCTTCTTGGTGAACTCCACATTAACATCCTCAAAGGCCATGGAGTCCTACAACATCCCACATATGCATATAGGAGAATGGGTCAGACAGACAGCACTGAGGATCTATACATACATAATTCATAGGAAGTTCACACAGGACATGTGGTCCCCAACATTCAGTCTATGGCATGATCTTAAGACTATTATGAATTTGCCACAATCACTTTCAGAAGAACACATGGAATTTATTTATTTGTTTGTTTATTTATTTTAAATATATTTTTATTGATTTCAGAGAGAAAGGGAGAGGAAGAGAGAGACAGAAACATCAATGATGAGAAGCACTGATCCGTTGCCTCCTGCACATCTCCACTGGGGATCAAACTCACACCTGGCATGTGCCCTTGACTGGATTTGAACCTGGGACCCTTCGTCCGCAGGCCAACACTATCCACTGAGCCACACCAGCTAGGGCACACATGGAATTTATTGATATGATTTTACTGTGATCACTTCATCTTCATTGCTCTCTAATGTCAGGTTAAAGAGCGCCTTGAACAACATCTATACTAATACATTAAAATACTTCTATTTTAAGCCCATCAATTCCTTGAGGGAAAAAACTCATCTCCACTATAACCACCATTTGATGCAGCAATCCATGAAGCATACTGTCATATCTCCATAAAGCTTTAACGACTATGAATACAATAAGGGCCTTGTAGCTAGCTTTCTCTTCTATACTTATCATCAAACAGAAGAGACCAGGAGGTGTGTGAAAACTCAACTTGGAACAAAAGGTACTTGACCATATTGTCCTGAAGTACTCCAGATTATTAGAAGTATTCAGATACACCTGAATGAAGGAAAATATTCTTGTGAAGGAGTATGAATAATCATTTGTTTTTATATATATTATTTGTTAGTAACTCAGTCGGACCTTTTGCCTCTCTAATTTCATGGAGATAGGAAGTTAAGAGCTCAGGCATGAGCAAGGCTGGTCAACGTAGCCCTCTACAAAAGTCCCCTGCTCATGATCCTGAAGGTTACTTCATCTGATTTTTAGGATACATGGACACGTATATTGAAATCATAAGATCACACTCAAAAGAAGTCTTTCCAATAGAATTGTAACACTGTAACCGGGGCCTGGACATTTAGGAATAACTTAAGACTTGGCATGTACAAGGAAGGACCCTTATTGAAATCTGCAATATTTTCATATTGAAGTGGCACATGATTTCAAAATACATGAGGGGTGTTAGGGGCACTAAAAATATCAAGCAGAAAATTGTAGTTTGTCTAAAGACTATGTTCTCCACCTGAAATTAATACAAAATAAAATTAAATGTAAACTATAATTGCAATGTAAACCATAAATGGAAGCATATATGGTGTTTATGGAGAGGAAAAAATGATATCATTAAAATGTTCGTATTATCCAAAGCAATCTATAGATTCAATGCAATTCCTTTCAAGATACCAATGGTGTATTTCACATAACTAGAACAAATATACAAAAGAAACCACCAACAAAACAACAAGAAAGCCCACTGCATGAGAGAACATATTTGCTAATGTTATCTCCGATAAATGTTTAATCTCCAAAATTTATAGGGAATTCATACAACTCAACAAAACGAAGGTAAACAATGGCAGTCAAAAAAGGGCAAAGGACCTAAATAGACTCCTTTCAAAAGAGGACATAAATAAGACCAAGAGACATATGAAAACATGCTCAAAGTCACTAATCATCTGAGAGATGCAAATCAAAATAGCAATGAGGTACCATCTCATACCTGTCAGAATGGCTCTCATCAACAAATCAACAAATGACAAGTGCTGGCGAGGATTCGGAAAAAGAGGAACCCTCGTGCACTGCTGATGGGAATGCAGATTGGTGTAGCCACTGTGGAGAACAGTATGGCATTTCCGCAAAAAAAATTAAAAATGGAACTTTTATTTGACCCAGTAACCCACTTCTAGAAATATATCCTAAGAAAACAGAAACACCAATCAGAAAGGATATATGCACCCCTATGTTCATAGCAGCACAATTTATAATATCTATTAAAAAGGGGAACAATAATAACCTCTCAAAACCACTTCCTTTCTGCCTAGAATAGTAAAAAGCCTTCCATTTTGAACCGCCGCTCAGATTCTATTTTCTAGATGGGTTGCTGCCCAATGCCTGATAGGGAATCAAACCAACTAGTATTTTCAATTTGTTCAGTTGAATCTTGTTTTTTTGTTTCGTTTTGTCTTCAAATATATATTATTGATTTTTTTAAAGAGAGGAAGGGAGCCGGTTTGGCTCAGTGGATAGAGCGTCGGCCTGCGGACTGAAAGGTCCCAGGTTGGATTCCGGTCAGGGGCGGGCACATGGGGGGGGGGGGGAGCAGTGTTGCAGGGTGCAGCTGATCGATGATTCTCTCTCATCGATGTTTCTAACTCTCTATCCCTCTCTCTTCCTCTCTGTAAAAAAATCAATAAAATATATTTTTAAAAAATAAATAAATAAAAAATAAATAAAGAGAGGAAGGGAGAGAGAGAGTCAGAAACATCGATCAGTTGCTTCCTGCACGTCCCCTACTGGGGATGTGGCCGCAATCAAGGTACATGCGCCCTGACCAGAATCGAACCCGGGACCCTTCAGTCCACAGGCCGACGCTCTATCCGCTGAGCCAAACCGGTTCCCGCAGTTGAATCTTGTTTTTAAGCATTTGAAAAGCACCGCAAAAACAAATAGCTGATAAAGATGTTGTGAGGTCAGGGCCAGCCTGACAGGTGAACCGGACTGAGGTAGGGAGGTGGGAATTGGACAGGAAAGCGGGATCCACAGACGGCAGCAGCCGTATTAACTGCTCAAAGCCTTTTATACACAAACACTGAAGGGAGGTCAGTTAAGAGGAAGGTACTCTCTGTCCCTCGGTTCCTCCCAATCGTAGAGATAAAGCAGGAAGCCAAATTCTCAGTAAATACTTACAGACTTCTGATAAGCTATGAAGGTCTCGTTCTGCTGACAATAGAAAAGTGCCATCAAAACAAGTCAGAGGAGCCGAAACCGGTTTGGCTCAGTGGATAGAGCCTCGGCCTGAGGATTGAAAGGTCCCAGGCTCGATTCTGGTCAAGGGCATGTACCTTGGTTGGGGGCACCTCCCCAGTGGGGGGTGTGCAGGAGGCAGCTGATGGATGTTTCTCTCCCATCGATGTCTCTGACTCTCTGTCCCTCTCCCTTCCTCTCTGTGAAAAATCATAAAACATAAAAAAAAAAGAAAGAAAGTTAGGGGACACTGTGGGCAGAAGACTGAATCTTATCAGTCCCTTTGGGGGCAAGGACCATCAGCTTACACCCGGTCTCCAACATTGTGACCCAGAGGGAAGATGGGGTTCAGGGTCCGGGGAGAGACTGAAATGCAGGCATTGGCTGCAGAGCAGGGCCTGGGGGACAGGGGGACTGGAGAGCCTGCTCTGTTGGGAGCCGAGTCCCCTACCGACCTGAGAATCGGGGGATGAAGCAAGGGTAGGTAGCCCTGCCTGCTCTCCCCCAGAAGTTGGGTCACTTGGGGACGTGGCAAGACACAGTGTCCTTCGTTCTGCTGTGTGTTGGGAGCCATCAGAGTTGATACAAGCAACTCCATCTTGGAATTAAGTTTCTAGCAGAAATCCTGTGGCGCCCAGCGGCTTGGCCAGAAGCTAAAGATAACCTATCGCTTAGCAAGCATCCTGCTCCAGAAGATCTCTGCAACACCCCCTTCCAGATCCTCCCCATAGCTAGCCCCGCCTTGGAATGTCCCCGCGGCAACCTCCCCCTGCAGCCTGTATGTATATATATTAATAGCAGCTGCAACAATAAAATTTGATGCTTGATCAGAACCCTGTCTTGCCTCCATTTCTTCGCGTCTCCTGTCCTCTATCATTCCCTTCTAGGTGCCTCCTCGCCCCCCACGTTGATCTCCCGCCGGGTCCGGACAGCTGTGCGTGCAAGATTGGAATCTGCAAACATGTCCTTGATTAAACGTAGCAGAGCACAGCCGGATGAACTTTTCCAGGCAGATATCTTCCTGCGGAGGTCTTAAGGAACTGGCACGTGGCCTCATGGCCAGAGAGGCCATTTGGAGGAACGCCAGCTTCAGTGTATAAAAGAGTTTGCGCCCTTAATAAACTTGCTGCAGTGCCATCAGGCTCTGCAGTCCTCCTGAAGCCCCGCTGTCCATGTCCTCTTCTTCTCAGCCGCCTAGCCATGCCTTCAGGACCTGTCATACCGGCTGGTCCGGTGCTGCTCCACACACATCACACCCGGGAGAACACGGTCCCTCTGGGGGGAGGAGGGACAGGCCACAGCCCACAGCTGCCCCCGGGCACGGGCCGCGGAGGCCGAGCCCCGTGTCCCCACGGGCCCTCCACGCGGCCCCGCACCCACTGCGGAGCCCGGGCTGCGGGCGCGGAGCCGCCCGGACTCGCTGCGCAGCCCCGGCCCCGCCGCGGGGACCCCCTGGGCCCGGGGCCCGGCGGGGCCCCTGCGAGCCCGAGGGGCCTGCAGCCTCCGCGGAGCCCGGGCGCCTGGGTCCGCAGCCCGGACCTGCCCGCGGACAGACGGCCCCGGCGGCTCCCGCCCTCCTGCCGCCCCCGCGCCGGCCGCCACTCACCATGTCTGTTCCGGCCCGAGTCCCCCCGCGGCTCCACCACCATAAGGATCGCCTGGCGAATGACGGAAGTAAAAGAAACTTTCGATTCCAGAGGACTTCCGGGTGCTAGCAGAGCGTAGCCCCACCCACCTGCCCGCAATAGGCCCACCCCAACGCCCCGCCCACACCGCAGCCCCACCCACCTGGCGCCCAGCTCGGATGACAGACACTTCGCAGACAGCGCCCTCTAGCGCCCGAGGTGCACAGGCCTGAGCCCAAAGCAGCCACAGCTCCTGTCCAGGACGTTTGCACTGAGAGGCAGGGCTGAGAGTCCCCAGGGAACAGAGGTCCTTCCTTGCAAACACACACCCTGAAAAGGCACCTGATGAATCTGGTTCCATTTGATCTTTGTTGACAGCTGGACTCTTGACG